AGTCCTTCAAGGTTAAAGGCTTCACAGTGGGCCAGGTACTGCTTTTTGGGAAATTATCAAGCAGAACACACTGCACAGTGCAGGGGCAGTGAGGCCTTCTGCACTGTGGGTGAGGTGTCAGAGGATACAATTACAAACACAGGAACACACAGGCTTGGGCTGAGGGCCTTATATAAAACGCTTTTAATCGTCCCCAGGAACTCGGCAGACAGACACTGTTATCATCATCCCCACTGAACAGAAGACAGTGAGCCTCAGAAACTTGCCCAGGGCCTCACAAGCAACACACGCCCCCGTCCCTGGATGTTATAAATAGTCTGCGCTCGACTAACTGGAGGGTTGGTTGTTCAAACTTCACAGCAGCACCATGAAAGAAAGGCCTGGTGATCTGCTTCCCTAAAGACTATTGTCAAGGAAACCCTATGGAACAGTTCGACTCTGAAACATGTGGGGTCACCACAAGTGCATTGGCCACGAGTCAGAATCAATTTGACGGCAAAAGATTTGGTATTTGGTTCTGAACCTTTACCTTACACAGCCTCTCCGGGAGTCAATTTTTCCTTGACTCCAGGGAAACTCTTCCTAGGCCAGTCTCTTCTTCCAGAGGATTCCTCATCCAAAATGGGATACAACAGAAGACTGACCACATACCCTTGTCCTGAGCCCCCAAATTGCCTGACTCCAACCTAACAGGTAAGAACAGACACGGATCACACGTTCCCGGTTAGGATTTTTCCTGGGGTCATGATGACCCTAGTTGGCTGCCTACTTGGGACTCTGCCACACTCCAACTGCAACACCCCCACAGCCTGGCTGACGGCCTATTTCAGACCTAGTGGGAGGTCCCACCTCTCAGAAACCCACCAACCTCTGCACAGGCTAAAGAGTCAAGCTAGCTATGAAGCTCAAGACTCCATGTAACTTTTTAAAGACCTGCTGTTTAGAGCTTATTATAGGCAAATTTTTCTAAGCACAGAAGGACCTCCAGGTATTTCACCTGCCAGCCCTTCAATGTGGATGCTGTTAGCTGGCACCAAATTGACCCCCAATTAATTGTGACCCCATGCACGACAGGACTGGACCACCATGAGCCGTAAGGTTTTCACTGGCTGGTTTTTGGAAGTAGGCTGTCAGGCCTTTCTTTCTGGTCCATGTTAGTCCGGAAGCTCTGCTGAAACCTGTTCCGAATCACAGCAACACACAAGTCTTCACTGACGGATGAGTGCTGGCTGCACTGCCCGAGAACTGAACCTGGGTGGTGAGCAAATGCCTTCCACAGAACCCCTTCTACTCATGTAACTAAATGTACAGCCACTGCTCCAGTTTTACCCTGGATCACTAAGATAAAGTCTAATTTTTAAGGTTTAAGATTATCAGCCAACACCCAAAGATACAGCCTGGATAAACACAAATATCAACTGCTCAGTCAACAAGTACCTTCTAAGGATCTATGGTGGTTATTAAGTTTGTGTGTCAGCTTCACTGGGCCTGGTTGAGTGGCTGGGCAGCTGGATGTACACTCCCCATGGTGAGATTAGTAATCAGCTCCATGGTAGACTCTATTGGAGCAGCTGAGTAGCCGCTTTGGGTATGTGGTCTGCTTCCCATATATAAGAAACAGCTTTGGGAATAGTCTCTAGCTTATGGCACACTTGAACCCTGCATGTAGCCATGTCGTTCAGCAGTGTACCATGCTTTGCCGACCTTGGGACTTTCAACAGACTTGAATTAATGGCCTGCCATGTGGTTTGGTAACATCGGGACTGTGCAATCTTATTTGTCGACCTTGGGCTTATTTGCCTTAGCAGTCAGTAGCTGCCCGAGTGAAGAGACACTCTAGCTTCAGTGAGCTGGGAGCAAGAGGCAGAGCTGAAGTCCAAGGTCAAAGGGCTTTCACACAGCCCCTAGAGCCTGGCAAGGAGCTCTGGTAGCGTAGTGCTTAAGACCCTTGACTGCTAACCAGAAGGCTGGTGGTTCAATACCACCAGCCACTCCTCGGAAGGAAGGTTGGGCAACCTACTTCTATAGTGATACTGCCTCGGAAACCCAAAGAGGCGTCGCTATGAGTTGGGGACTACTCGACGGCACATAACCACAACAAGAGCCTGGCACGTTGAACTCGGACTTCTAGACTCCTGAACTATAAGAGAATAAACTCCTGTTTATTGAGCCATCTCATTTGTGTTCCTATCAGAGCGGCACTAGGTAACCAGAACAGTATCTATTGATCAAGAGACTTGCTGTGTCAGGGATGGTTCTAAATGCTGTAAAGTACCAACTTTATATGTTAGATGCTATTATTACTCTAATATACAGACAAGGAAACTAATGCACAAAGAAGTAGTAATCCAAATTACCCAGTGATCCAGAGAAGGGGGGCAGCACTCTTTCTAGGATCAGGGGAACTTAGGAACAAATTCAACTTACTGTACACTCACTCACTGCTGTCGAGTCAATTCAATACATAGCGATCCCTCCCTGGGTTTCTGAGGTGGCATATCTACAGAAGTGGATTGCCCCGTCTTCCTTCTGAGGGGTAGCCTTCTGGTTAGCAGTCAAATGCCTTAGGCATGAAACCAACAAAAACTCAGGCATTTACTCTGAGTGCCCTGCTCAGAGGTAAACCATCCACATCTTCACAATCAGTCCTTTTAGAAAGTCTTTATCAAGAAGTGTCAACTATGCAGAGAGTAGGTTTGATTACAGCAAACAAAGGGAAGGTCAAATAAAATTGCAAAATATTTAGTAGGTCCCACTTTGAAAAGCATACATATGTAAGTATTGTGGTTTCTAGTCTAAACACCTAAAATTCATGAGATCAAGGTAGTTTTTCTAACACTGTGTAGTTTAAAGAACCCTCTATCTTTGTACAAGGAGCTCTGTAGCATAGTACCTAAGGCACTTGACTGCTAACCAGAAGCTGGCAGTTCAAACCCACCAGTCACTCCTCGGAAGATGGGGCAATCTACTTCTGTAGTGATACTGCCTCGGAAACCCAAGGAGGGGTCGCTATGAGTAGGGTCCAACTCAATAGCACATAATAACAACAAATCTTTGTACAATCTCGGTACAAGCCCAGTGTAGGGTTTCACCACCAATGTCAGTTTAAGTCACTCATGCTCCTCTAGTCAGGTTCACTTAGTGAGGTCAACAGTCCCTGCAGGCTGTGCATTCTGGGGGGCACCCTTGCCTCATGATACTGCCAGGCTTTGTCAATCTTTGCCCACAAGTCACTTTTATAATAAGTACTGCTTTAACTCCTCTCTGCAATTTTCTGGCCTCAATTGTTTTCTCATCTTTAGGATGCTATACTAGTATGAGCTGGATTTTAGGGAAATTCTAACTGGAACTCATGACCTTCCTCTCTCCAAGGAAGAGATTTTTACAATTCAAACACTTCATTTTGGTAGCATGATTAATTCATGGGAAGAAACTTCTCAGAGCACTTGAAGGTTTGCAAATTTGTCCCTAGAGAGGCCAAACAGTTGGTGGTCATCAAGGAAGCGGACCTGCAAACTTGGGGAATGAAGGACACTTTCCCAAGACTCCAAGATTCCTGGCTGCAAGTGTAGCCTTCCTTCCATTTCCTCTCAAGAGTGTCCTTGGCCTAGCAACAGAGAAAAGCGGGGAACCCCCTGTCCAGACACCTCGCAGCCCAATCCGCTCAACTATAAGAGCCATTTTCTAGGGTGCTGATAATGCCCTTTCTCGATGTGGATGTTGGTGGGTTCAGCTGTAAAAAATTCATTGAGCTGTATACTTATGATAGATGCACTTTTCTGTACGTATTCATATTTAAAGAAAAAAAGCAAAAACTTCCGTGATTTTAACATGCAACTAGTGTTGAGAACCAATGAACTACATCAAGGCAGATACTACTGACAAAAATTAATAAAAATGAGGGGAGAAGTAATCAATCAGTCATTTCATGTATTCATCAATTACTGACCATTTATATAGCTCAGCATTTACTGAACACTTACTAACTGCCAGGCACAATTCCAAGTGCTTTTCAGTAACAACTTATTTAATTCTCCAAACTACCCCATGACTTATGCTCTTGAAAGCCCTAGAGTGGGTACCACCAAAGACAAATTCACTCAGAAACTCCAACTTACAAAGCTAGGGTTCAAAGGACAATTACTGTTGACAGCCACAGCAGTTACTAAATAATTTTGTGAGGCCAAAAGTCCCAAGAGCGATTTCCAGGAATGTCACACAGAATATGTCCTTTCCACTTGCCTTCTACTCCCATCTTTCCCCACCAGTCACCTCTCAGACAAAATAGCAATGTGTGTTGCTTTCTGGAATAAGTTGGGTAACCAGATCCTCTAGTTAACAGTCTCATCTCCTTCCTCAGGGGTGAAATACAGAGGTCAACTGAATGCAGAATTTGGTCAAGACTCAGAAACCAAGCTACAAATGATGCTGGGACCAGGAAAAGAGATGACAGAGGAGAGAATGTGATTGAAGGGAAACGTTTAGGGGGTTCCACTTAAGCAAATAAAAAGACTCTGATGTAGTGGGAACAGGTAAGGACTGGAAGAAAACCTTTGGTTCTTGTTGACCAATCACCCTCGTAACCTTTCAAGTCGCCTCACCTCCAAACTAGAGGGGAAGGGAGTGGACTGGATTTCTGAGTTCTGAAAGTGGCGCCTCAGGCAGCCTAAATTCTCTCTTGGCAAAGATGCCAGCAGCTGCACTTTTGGGAGTATGGTCGGGCCGGGTGAGTTGTCTTTTTACCCTAGAAACACAGGAACTAAGGAAGGGGCACAGCCATCAGGCAGCCCATCTGCAAACGCAGACTGTGTCCGGGGCCCCTTTCTTAGGCTGCAGGGGACCGTTCCTCGGGTCAAAGTCCTGCCTCCCTGCCCAGCTGGTCTCGCTTTTCCACTACAAGTGACCCCTTCCACAAAAAAAGGGTCCGTAGAAACTAGCAGGCTCTGCTAAGAACCCCCGCCTATACCCGACACTCCCGACCAACAGTTACAGGTGCTTACGCGGAGACCACCTTCCCGTCCAGGATTCCCGCCGGCGCCATGACCTTTATTAGTCTGCTGCCCACGATAGACACAGCCAATACTGAGGTTCGATTTTCTCCGCTGCCCGCGCGGGACAGCCCAGCCCACGTGCTTAGTGACCGCCCGGGGCACCACGCTACTGCGCCTGCGCCCGGACGTACACGGTCGGGCGTGCGCAATCTGAAAGGGCGTAAAATCCCTTAACTAGCAAAGAAGATGGAGTAGAGGGCCTGTGATACTGTAGAAGAAAGAGGGAGAAGAGAATGTAAAGGAACTCGGTGATGATAGGCTGGGGAAAATGACTGGCTGGTGAGAAGAGCGGTCCCAGATCGCGCCTTTGCTTAGAGCCAGGAACTCCGCGGTAAAGGAAGACAAAGGTGACTTCAGGCGCCGGGCCTCGATTCCAGCCAATGAGGGAGCAGAACACGGGGCGGGGCCGAGAGCGGGGCGATCTCGCGGGAAAAAATTTCGCGGGCGCGGGAAGAGCTCTGTTTCCACTTGGTTCTGGGGGCTGTGTTGTTGAGAAGTGTGGTCCCTGCGGCGAGAAACTCCGAGCTACCGCGTGGGAAACTTCTGAAGGGTGCTAAACTGGGTGCTAAACCTGAGGACTGTGGGGCTGCCTCGACATTTCTTTTTTGTTTCTCCTCACATACAGGCTTGTGTCTGGAGCCCCACCCTGGTTCTGCTTTGGAGTGTCTGGGATGGCGCCCGTAATTGAGTTTTTAAAATTTCATCGGGTGAATCTGGTTGTCAGCCAGAGTTGAAGCCCACTGTGTTAGTCCCTGCTGGGCTGTGAGAATGTCAGAGTAGGAGCGCCCCGTGAGTCCCTCTTTGGGGTAACACTGATGGTTGCTAGTGCTGAGAGGGTCGTCATCTATGCCAAGTGTACATTTTGTCAGATCCTCCACGGCAGACCTGAGGTTACAGTACGGATCCGGGCCTTACTCAAGCTAGATGCCAATTTACCGAGTTTTGGAGGTGCTAGTGCTTTGTTGTCTAAAACGGCCTGCACTGCTTTCATGTAGGCTGCCACTCTGGAAAAGAAATTGAATTGAGTGTTTGTGGGAAGGAGGACCAAGGCAGCTGGGATGTTTGTGAGAACTGGTTACTGAGTCCGGTGAAGTTGCTTTCTGCCCTGGGGACAGTTTTGAAGATAAGTTGATTTGGTCAGTTGGAACTTGCCAAATATCTATGTTTCTTTTGTAAAGGGTGGCCTGTTCCAATTAATGATAGAGTACATCTATTGAACTTTGTTCTTTTTTTTTTTTCCGGGCTTTTACACTAGTTGCCATCTAATTGATTCTGACCCTGTGTGTGTCCATAAGATTAGCAGTGGCTGATGTTTCTGAAGTAGATCTCCAGACCTTTCTCTAGGATGCCCCTGGGGGGACTCCAGTCTAACCTTTTAGTTGGCCACTGAGTGTGTTAACCCTTCACACTACTCAGGGACTAAACCAAAAAAATAAAACTCACTGCCATCAAGTGGATTCTGACTCATAGCGACTATATAGGGTTTCTGTTCAAGGGGCAAGGAGGTGGCATCTTCTGACCTCCTCTAACCCCATGAGAGGAAGATAGAATCACCCTCAGTAGCCCAAGGCCTATTCCTGTGAGGCCAGACATGCTGCCTTCCTCCAGCCCTTTCATCAATCCTGACACCAACAGTTCCTCCTGCAGCACCCATCACCTCTCTGCTGGGTTCAATAATTTGCTGCAGTGGCCACACAAAACTCACAGATTATGGGGTTTATTAGGGAAGCACAAGACTACAATTCGTGCTCAGAAATGCAGTTAGTTTCTTGCAGCCACTCGTCTCACTCCAGCTGGAAGTCTCAGTAGCACATCGCTCTCTCGGTAGCGTATGTCTCCTTTGTCTTTCTCCAGCAGTGAGTGTCTCTCACATCCCTCTCCTAGCAGTGCATGTCTCTCATGTTTCTCCCTCAGCAGTGTGTGTGTGTCTCTCATGTCTGTCAGGAGTGCGTTTCTCTCAGTAGCATGCCCTTCTTAGCCTGCAGTCAGACTCCTGCCTCTAAGAGGACTCCTTTTGAGCCTGGCAGAGTGGCCAAACTAACGAATCCTAACATCAGGATTCTGTATACCTGAGAGAGAACATCCCAGGAGATTGCTTCCTGCTGCTCCCAACAGAAATACCCCAGGTAGATAACTTTAACAACCAGGAGCTGCTTAGTTGCTCATGGCAAATTCTGCCACAGAGTTTACAAAGACTTATGGCTAAAAAAGCCATACCAGGTAATTTACTACATCACAGCTTCCAAAGCTGTAAATCTTTATGGAAGCAGACTGCCTCATCTTTCTCTCACGGATTAGGTGAGTCCGAATAACTGATTTTTAGTTAGCAGGTAAATGAATGCCTTAGCCACTGCATCACCAAAGCTCCTACTCAGGGACTAGCAGCATATAGTAAAAAATTAATGCTATTTTCCTAAGTGGTCATTTACATATTGAAGTTTTTTTTCTTGTATTGTACATCCATTTTTTAAAATACACTTTAGTTTTTAGAACAGTTTTAGATTTACAGAAAAAGTGTGCAGAAACTAGAGTTCCCACATGTTCCCTCTCCCCTCTGCATACAGTTTCTCCTGTTACTACTGCCTTACTAGTGACACCAAATAGTAGGCTATGGGTAAATGCATAGACAGGTGAGATCACGTGGGGGTAGGTGAACAGGAATATATCCAAGACCAAGGATAGATTTGGCAGAAGGTAGTCTTATATATTGTGCTACAAAATTATCCACATACATTACAGAAGTAACAGAGAACAAGGTTGGAGTAGCTTCTCAAAGACAACTAAACACCTGGAGGGAGAGAATCACTGGGCTATGGCTCAGAACCATAGGCTTGGGGGAACAGTATGCTCAATTGTCATAACCTTTGTTGTTGTTTGCCATCGAGTCGGCCCCGACTCATAGCGACCCCTCCTTGGGTTTTCGAGGCAGTATCACTACGGAAGTAGGAATGCACAACCTTCCTTCCGAGGAGTGGCTGGTGGGTTTGAACCGCCAGCCTTCTGGTTAGCATTCAAGTGCCTTAGCCACTATGCTACCAGAGCTCCTTTATGCTACCAGAGCTCCTAACCTAGTACATAAAAATCTTGTTCTGCATCTTACTTTGGTGGGTAGTGACTGGAGTCTTAAAAGCTTTTGAACGGCAATCTAAGATACAACTGTTGGTCTTCTCATCTGGAGCAAAGAAGAGTGAAGAAAAAGTTATTTGGAAACAATTAGTCCAAAGATATGATGGGCCATGAGGACCTCAGCCTCCATGACCCTGAGACCAGAACAACTAGATGGTCCTGGCTACCAATGCCAACCACTTGGAAAAGGATCAAAATTGGACATCCTGGATAGAGTGGGAAGAAAAATGTGGAACAAAATTCAAAGACACAAAAATGACCAGAATTACTGGTCGGATAGAGACTAGTGGAACCCCTGAGACTATGGCCCTGGGTTATCCTTTGGACCTGGAAATGGACTTATTTCTGTGGGCTCTCAGCCCAGCATAGAAAGACCTACAAGCAGAACACCTACCCCAGGGAAATGCACCCCTTAGAGCAATCAGCCATGAGACACCAGAGGGACAGCATTCACATAGAGGGAAAAGCTGGAGAGACAGGAAGGCATAGATAAGGACACAGGGAAGGGGTAGTCACAGGGAGGAGCGTTTTTTATGGTTGGGGATTGTCATTGGAGCTGTGAAATCAAATGTCTGTAAATCGTTGAGAGTAAAACGATTCTGCTTTGTAAGTTTGCACCCAAATCACAATTTAAAAAAAAAAAAAAAAAGGAAAGGAAAGTTTTCCATGGGAAGAGCAGACTTTTGTTTCAAAAAAAAAAAAGGGTGCAGAAAGTAGAGTTCCCACATGTTTCCTCTCCCCTCTGCATAGTTTCCCCTGTTATTAATGTTTCACATTAGTGTGATATATTTTTATAAATGATGAACCAATATTAATACATCATTGTTAACTAAGGTCCATAGTTCACATTAGGGTTTACTCTGTGCTGTACAGTCCTATGTGTTTTGACAAATACATAATCTCATGTATCCACCACTACAGTGTCATGCAGGATAGTTTCATTGCCCTTGAAATGCCCTGTGCTTCACCTTTTCATCCTTCCTCCCCCTCCTCTTGAACCCCTAGGGACCACTGATCTTTTTACTGTCTTTATAATTTTACCTTTTCTAACAAATGATGGAACACAGCAGAGAAGTAGAGTGCCATGTGAGGGTCACTTGGTGTCAGAATTGGTAAAAAAATATTGGAGGATGACTGCATGTCTGGCCACATAGGAATCAACCTTGGGCTGCTGCTGGTGATCTGACTCCCCCTTGTGAAGTTACAGGAGGTCAAGGGATGCTGCCCCCATGCCTTTGTGCAATTGGCATCAAAGTGGGATTTCTTGCAATGGCTACACAGAACTCACAGACAGTACTCATGATTAAGGGGTGTATTAGGGAAGTAACAGACTACAGTTTAGGTACAGGGACACTCAGGTTATAATTCTTTCATCAAGACAGCCTCCCCTCTGTCATGCCTGCAGACACACCTCTCTTTGGGCCTTGGCCTTTAAGCCTGGCCCCCACCCTGCTTGGACAAGTGTTAACAAAGCTCTTTTAGCTCTGCTGACAGGTACACCTAGGTGCACCCCATTCCCACCAGCAAGCATCCTGCCCAAAGGCACTCAGCTTTCTCACTCGGTGCTTGCAACCCCACCACTTTGTCTCATGCTAGTCTCAATTCTGCTGCCGAATCTCTGACTTCTCTATGCTGTTGTCTCAGTGCAGGGATCTCAGGTCCAAGGACACAGTCCACTCTAGGGTCTTCTATGTCTTGATGGTAGTGAGATCACCCTTTCTGCCTCTGGGATGGCTCATTTTAAGCCTAGCAGGATGACAAAACTGACCAATCCCCACATTAGCGTTCCATACACCTTAGTTGTACGGTCCCACCCTCAAGGCACCATATACCCTATTTATATGACTAACAAGCTTTCCAATCCTCTTGATGGGCCACGAGTACCTTATATTTGCATAATTTTACCATCACCTGATAAGGAGCTCTGGTGATGCAGTGCCTAAGGCATCTG